CAGCAGTATTAAAGATTCAGACAAAACTACCTCCTGGATGGCAGAGCCGGGCCGGGCCCGGGGTCAGCCGCTCCTTTGGGTTTTCACACATTTTTGAGACTTACTGTACAGAAAATAAAAGAAAAAAGCATCTATTTAAATTTGGGAGCTCTATTTATGTATAAAACCCCACTGATGGTGGCCACAAGCTGGAGACAAGAGCTGGCACCTGGCTGAAGGTGGACACTGGGGGAAGGGAGAGTTTCTGTCTGTCTATTCAGGCGTTAAGAGAGACGCTGTTGTGGATGCATGGACTCAGCCAGCCCCACGGGGCATCCCTTGGCACATGGGAGATGGACAGCTGCTGAGAGGTGGGTGAGGGGCAGACACGGGCTGGGGACTGACACTGTGCCTGTGCCTCTTGCAGGGTGTGGGATCCCGTCCTGGTGCAGGGCTGGGGGTTTCCCCAGCTGCCTGCTCACAGGCAGGAGAAGGGCCATGGACACATCTCACATTGTGTGTGTGTGGGGGTGGTGGCCTTAGTGGCTGCCAGCCCCTGCCCTCTCTCCCACATCTGCCCCCCAAGGTTTTCTCTCTGGGAGAGGATGGTTTGGCGAGGGATGAAGACAGGGTGAGGAGCTGGTGTCCTGAATGCCCTGGAGCAGCTTGTGGAGAGCCATGTGCCCACTGCAAGGCGACCACAGGTGAAATACAGGGCTGGGTGCCCTGGGGAGGTGGCACCTCTGGGGCCTCTGACCCTGACAGGGCTCTGCCCCCTCTCTCCAGGGCACTGCAAGGAAAGAGCAGGATGCAGCAGCAGGCACTACGATGGACTGGCAGCAGGACTGGCAGCCACCACCATGCTCTACGGTGTGACTAAGGACCAGCGCAGCACCTGCATGCCCCTGATGTCTGCAGTGCCCTCATAGCCCTGAGCATGTGTTTCTGCCCTCCTGTGCGGTGCTGTTGGAGAACCGGGGTTCAGGCACAGCCACATCACCTGTGGAACATGTGGGTGGGGAAGTGTCCTCACACAGTGAGGAAGAAAAGCCCTGGACAAGGGCCTGCCTCCCTCTGGACCCTCTTCCTCTTCATGGCACTTTCCAGGGGCAGCCATGGTTCCTAAATCCCCCAACTATTTTGGCTTCTGCCACCTTCTGGGGGAACCTGAGAGACTGGGCTGACAAAAGCATCTCATGCCCCAGGGACAGGGTGGTGGCACTGGAGAAGCTGGGGAGGGACAGACTTGCTGGGGTATGTCCTTCCTTGTGTTCCTTTCTGACACATCCATAATCAGGACATTGACTGGAGCTCAGCCCTGCAGGGGAGATAGGTGGGAGGTGGCAGCCCCAGGGTCCCTTATGGGCTGGAGCCCAGGCCTGCTGCCCCAGAAGAGTGAGACTTAGTGGGAAAAGGCAAGAGTTGCACACCTGGGCTCTCCCATCCATCCCCACCCTTGTTTTCCCTGCAAGAAGGGAGCATGAGCCATTCCCAAGGACCACTACTCCCACTTCCTCCAAGGAAGGGCATCATCCCCTGTGTCTGGCACCCTGTGTGCACAGCTCCACATTCCCCCCGCAATAAAAACGGCTCTGTTTGGACATGGCGTGGTGTCTCTCTGCGGGCAGGAGGGATGGATGCAGAGACACGGGGATGGCGGTGGAGGCTATATTGGGGCTGCAGGCGCGGGCCCTGGACAGTGAGGACGGAGGGTTTGTTGGTGAGAGGGTGCCACTGGCCCTGGATGCTGGGATTGTCGGTGTGGAAAGGCTTGCGGATACGAACGATGTCCAGGCCGGACTGGTTGGCCAGCTTGGTGGCCAGCTGTGCAATCTCCTGGCTCGTCTTGCTGGCGATCAGCTCCTCCCGTACCGTCCCATTCACTGCAGCAGAGCAAGGGGGTCAGGGTGGGATCCCCCTGCAGCACCCCACAGGGCAGCTGCCCAGGCACTGTCTGTGCTGGGCAGAGAGAGCCCCATGCCCACCCTGCCCCCCAAACCTCCCAGCACTCACAGTACTCTGCCCGCAGCACTGGGGCCAGGCCCGAGTGGCGGCTGACATAGAGGACGACATCGGGGTGCTGCCGGGCGAAGTCCTGTGCCACCTCCTCCACGAACTCCCTGGGGCCAGGAGGGACCGTCAGCCCAGCCGGGGCAGGTCCGGGGGTCGCCGTAGCGCCCGGCCCAGCGCGAAAGCCACGGGAGG